AGTAAAATGACAGTATTATAGTTTTTAAAGATTTGTAACATTGGAAATGTGGACTTTTACATAGAAAGGTTTCACTCATTTTCACATAAAGAAATAAAAAAATGGATAAATGAAATTAAATAAAATGTTTGTAGCAGTTGAGACCTCACAAATTCAAATTTAAGACAATTTAATGGCTTTTAAGGCCTTATTGTTGAATTTAAGACATTTTAAGACTTTTTAATGACTCAGACACCCTGGTTTTTGTGTCCCAGTGACGTATGTGAACAACACTTTTTGACATTGGTCCAAGATTGAGCAAGGGGGCCTGAGCCGGCAGTGACGAACAAGGCTGCAATGTAAACACTCAGGGCATGTTCACACAATCAGTTTACGTCAACTAACAGTGCTTGTGTTTGCCAGATTGTACGTGTATCACAGCTTTATGCCAAGGATCCCTACAGACATAGGTCTTTTGTTAAAGCACAAGATCCTTTTTGTTGAACCAGAAACAGCCCCAAATCACCATCACCACACCAGTGTCCATTTAAAATAAACAGTAATTTCATCATCATTATCACACACATTATTCAAAATTTACAGATGCAAAATAAAAATCATAAAAGCCATCTTGGTTCATCTTTCCACTCCTCCAACGAACTAGCTTGAGTTTGATTGAGATAAACCTTTAATCCATCCTGTTAGATGTGAAAATATGCTGGCTCCATTTATGCTAAAATTAATGTTTATTCAAAATGAGTCTGGTGTGTTTACCGAGAGTGATTTTGGGGCTGTTTCAGTTTAACAAAACGGATCTTACTCTTTAACAAAAATGTCTATCTCTGTAGGGACCCTATAATGTTGTTAGACACAATTAATAAACTGAGCCTGTCAGTGGCAAAAACAAAGACTTTTAGTGGATGTAAATTGATGGTGCATACATGCCCCAAATGGAACACTGCAGCCCTATCTCTATACTGGACCAAATTAAAAATATATCCTCCATTAGTCATTAAGACACAAAACATGAGAACATAGGGCCAAATAGAGTTAAAGTTACCCTTTAAATTGTGTCCTTGCAGACCTGATGAGGGAGTGTTTCCCTTATAATGAGCCCTTATCTTTGGGTGTGTGACTGCTGTGCCTCCTAATGTTCCTCACAACAGCCTCTTTCCAAGGAGTGGAGAGCGACAATTGTTCCTCCATAACATAAAGGAAGTATATCAAGAACAATATTAAGTTTCTCAAAAAGCCTATGTGAATTTAGATTATATCTTTTCATTTATTCATGCATTTTCTGACACTGGGCGAGAGGGAGGGTACACCATGGACAGGTCCACAGACTATCATGGGGCTGACATTTTATGTATGTCCAAACAAATTTGTTGTGCATTTGCAATGTCATATTTTACTACAAAAAAATGAAATGAGGATACCATATGTCCAGAGGACGAAATATCACTCAATCCTGTATTCTTAAAAAAAGAAAAGAGAGAGAGAAGACAAGAAATACAATGTTCTTCTCGTGGCCAAGTATGATAATATCTGCAGCTCTATACACTTCTAGTCATGTATACAGATTGGAAATATCCAGCTCTCTTTGGCAAGAAAAACAAAGGATTCTGCAGTCAGCGTCTGGGACAGCGGACTCACATCTCTGAATCGCCGTCTAGGAATGCAGAGCACAGCAGCTGAGAGGAACATGTCGCTACCTATAGGCCTCAATAACATCGCCAGGTTTACTGGAACAAGAGTGACGTCAGCTTGTAAGAATGTAACACAAGGTGGAGGTACATGGAGGGGAGTGTGGCAACATGTGGACAATAGACAATAGGAGCACCACAGGGGGGTATTACACCAACAAGGACATTTTATCTTATTTTGCTGTGCAATTTTATTAACAAGTTCAGAGATTTAGGTCATTAAGCATAATTGTGTGCGGGCATTAGACTAATTACTGCAGCGTGGAGATATGTTAGCCCTTGTAAGGAAAAACGCAATTTTAAATCCAAACCTCAGAGAGACAAACTGCAGCACATTACGATGACTGACAACACTGCAGTCTGGCTTCCCACAGACACGCAACAAAATCTAATATCTGCAAGTTTTAACTGTAACTGAAGACGATTCAGACGGAGATGCAGCGATAAGGAGGATGCCCAAAAACGTGATGGAGGATAAAAGTACAAAAGGATGGTCAGTAACACAGCTGTGTCAGAAACGTAGCCTCCGAGATGACACGGGGAGCTGCATGTGTTATTGGGGAGTCAGTGTTTGGAAAAAGTGAAATTCCAGGTTATGTAAGGACAGCGTGCTGCTGGATACTGGCTACAATCTTAAAAGAGAGCTATTCCAGTTGTCCGAAACAGACAACACCGTCAGCAGCATTAAATTTATTCTATTCTTAAGGCTTTTTGGACTTGCCAGCAGTCGTCCAGAGCCAGACTCCAGTCATAAAAACCAAAGGATTTTTGGATATACTCTACACAGTATGTGGCTTGTGCTGTGCTCCAATCAGGCACATTCACAGAAACCCAGTGCTTACAGTCTTTCTTAGTCACTTTGGTACTTCTCTCAAATCAGAATTGAAATTCTCAAAACTACTTGTTCAACCTAAACATCTTCTGGTCACGTGTGCACAACATAAAGCACTTTCTCTCTCAGTGACTGTGCAGCTTACTTCATGTAGAAATCCATGGTATAGGCTGTCAGTCTGAAAAGCATCCAAGGCATTCTGAATATAAGTAAGAATTGTTTATTATTACATAGATGATCAATAATTTACATCCAATCACAGTGCCTTGGATGCTTTTCAGACTGACGACCTATATAATGGATTTCTACATTAAGCAAGCTGGACAGTTGTTTTTTACTTCGTGACTACTTGCCCTGTCCTTGAATTCTAGCGTAAATAACACCATAATTCCTGAAGTCACTGCAGATAATAGAAGATATCAATAATATAAGATATAGATAAGATATAAAGGGCTGCACAGACACCAGAGGATCTGCAACCTCTGTGATGATAATCACGTGGGAGATGAGTATTATATTTTGTCTGAATGTCTGAATGTAAGCTGAATGACTTACAGAGAAAGGTATTTGCCAAAGTATTATTCAAACTATCCATCCATGTTTACATTTATTTTGTTATTACAATCAGATAAGCCAAAAGTACTTTGTAAACTAGGTGCCTTTGTTTAAGTAACGTTGGTTGTACTTTAGCTACACTGTGTGACATTGCTTTGTTATTGTATGTAATGTTTGTCCTCCATATCATGTGATATGGTCATGACTCAAAATACATGAAATAAAAAGTACCTGATTTTTTTACTGTCACCAACACCTAGTATCTTGACCCAGTGCAGCACTCTCTTTTTTCCTTCAGTTTCTCATTCGTTTTAACAAATCTGGCACCCTCATGCAAATAATTCTTCACAATTGTCCACTGTCTCCTACATCACCACTCGATTATGTCATGTTGATGAAAATGTATCATACTGCTTCTCTGTTGAATAGTCTGACCTGTCAAAACCTCTACCATTTGTTCGTGGGTCTGTGGGGACTTGGCTTGGGAACTGGACAGTCACTAGTTCAAGTCCCTGTATGGACCAAACACAGAGTGTGGACTGGTAGCCTGAGAGGTGCCAGTTAATGCTCCTGAGCAAGGCACCAAACCCCCATATTCAGGGTGCCTGGCCATGGGCAGTCCCCTTTGCTCTGACATCTCTTCTTTAATACATGTGTCAAGGTCCAGTTTGTACTTGAGTCTGTATTTCGGGCCTGTGTGTGTTATCTGTAAAATAACATCAGAGTGAAACTGAATTTCCCCTCAAGGGAGGAATAAAGGAATACTTTACTGAGGGGGCATGTGTCAACCAGTTCTCTGAAACAGCCCACAGGTTCAGCGCTGTATGTACAGCTCTGTCTATGGAGTGTTTCCTATGTTTATATTTCCATTTATTATATCTTCCTTTGTGCTGTGTAGTGCTGTATAAGTCTTAATCTTATCTGTGTCACAATGACATGACCTGTCAACAAATGACAGTACAAACAGTAAGGGTGTAAATGTGAATCTTGAACAATCTCTAGCAAACAATCTCCAACATATAGTCATGTGTAATTTTGTTTCAATCATTGTCATCAAGCAGGTAAGAGGGGAAATTATGTATATGTATTTTTAAAGGTGGGGGGACAGTTAAGTACCACAGTGACCGAGAAAAACAGTAATAATCTGTTTTATAATGTTAGTGTCAAGTTAGGCATGGTGACTACTAAACTTTTTCCATTGTAAATGCAGCTGTGATCCTGCTGTCAGTTCAAACCTCACATGACAATTTTTGCTAGCTACAGTTTGACCCACAACTGTCATCTGATCTGTTTTATCTCACATGACACCAAGAGTTAAAGCAGGGAAAAACCCTGTGAGTGATAGAGATCATGTACAGTATGTCAGCATCCAGCCACAGGTTCACTGCCTCACACAGAGCTATCTGACTACGGGGCAGTTACCTGTGAAAACCAGAGAGTTCACATCAGCTCCAGTGTGGCAATCATTAAGCCTCAGAGCAGAGGTGGAGAGCCTGCATGGGCAAAGTCCTGCAGGGACAGCAGGACCATTTCACTGACCAATCTGTATACAAGAACCTGGACTGTCCCCGTGCAGAGGTCTGTCAGCTGTGACAATAACTGAACATCCTACATGGTGCATTTTGTGCAGAGAGGCACACAACAATGGTGAATTGTTAAAAAAACAGATCTAGGAGGCCCATGTTGAGGCTACAAGACAGAAGCTTCTGGGATTATCCACAAGGCCGTGAAGTACACCCAAAGAGAGAAAGCAGCCAGCATGTTGACCAACAGAAAACAACAATTGTGTCCATGTCAGTGCAAAATGTTCCCCCACTTCTTTCTATGAACACAAAGCATTCACTTATCAAACTGTGGCTGACAAAGGCGAGCTCATTACAGTATACAGAGTACTTGCAGGCGTGTTTAAAATCATAAACTGGAACACTTACTGAAAGCAGGCGTTGTGCCAGGTGTCCTGAAGGACTTTCGTGTGAAACGAGTCCTGGATTTCTCCTCCACATCCCGCACAGTAACAAGTAACTGTACCTGTGAGAAATGACAAAATCTAAGCTTAAACTGGAGAAGCACTGTATGCTTAAAAGTCTGGGTAAAAGGGTGAAACTAATTATCTGAGAGCAAATGAATAGACAACAGGTATACTCGACGTTACAGTGAAACTGCACAGAAACTGAGCTTTAAACTTGCAACACTGAATCAACCCACCGTGTAAAACCATGAGGATACAACACTGCAAAACGGAAACACTGTAACCTTTCCTCAGTATAAAGTTACAACCTGAGACATTTCTTACCTCCTGGTTCCTCCATCTACTTTCTGAGTGTCGTGGTTATTCAAATCCTTTTACAAACTTTTCATACTGGAGCAGGGGAGCTGTGATGCGCCGCTTCAGAGTCTCATTCCTCCCCGTCGTTCAACCAGGATTCTCAACTCTGAATACCTCAGGAAAAGAAGCACAAATCCCTTTAATTCTCCGCAGGAAAAAAGGAACCACACACTCCTTCTGGACGACACTGCTGCTGCTTTCTTGCCGCTGGCAGGATAACTGACGTAATGCAGTCTTCACATTCCTGTACGGAGAGCGGAAGGGCTCAGCTGCAGCACCTGGAAGCAGGAGGAAACTGAGGTTTGCCTCCAAACTGGGAGAGAACAACAGTGCTGCCATCTACTGTCAAAAAGACCGCACTGCACACTGTCGGCACCACACTACAGTCATTTCTACATTTACTTTAATCCTTTCATGCATGAATTATTACGACCTCAGAATTATTTTCTAAACTGTTTTATTCCTCTTTAGGCATGAAAAAAGGTTGCTTGAGAGTAAAATAATTTTTTAAACATTTTTCAAGGAGTTTTTCCACATGTCCACTCAGGTGGACTGCATGCGTAAATGTTTTTAGCTTAAGAAATATAAACCAATTTTAAGATAAATATATATCATATGAATCTTGGAAAATATTTTAATGCTGTGAAAGTAGTGTGTTCATATATTTTAACATATTCTAATACTGTTCAATGCCATGCAAAAGTGTTTAACCTTTATTTTGACTCCTAAGCTTCTCCTTTCTTCCTACTTCTCCCTCCTGTGCCTACCCACCCATTCGACTCCTTCCTCTTCACTCCTCTGCCCCTCACCCACCTCCCCTTTCATTTTCTCAATTAACATTTTCTGCAAAAATAACAAAAATATTGTCAAAATATTGTTTCTGTTACAAGAACTGCCAATCACATTCTAATAACATAAATCAATTGATTTAAAGTAAAAAAAAAGCCACTGCAGATGAAGTATTTTCAAGAACTACAAAGTTGCAGTAATAGTATTAATTATAGTTGAAATATAGCCAGCGATGCATGATGATGATTAATTGTAATTTTCTCACAACATAAAATTAACACTTGGAAATTTTAACAACTGTTTACTCCTAAGATGTCACTTGATGTTTCCAGATTTTATTTATCTACCAGTGTCTCCTATTATAGAAAGATTAGCAAAATATTCTTGAGCTGCACATTTCTTACTTTTTTTGTGATAAATTTTTTATTGTTTTTTTTTTTTTTTCATTTTATAATAAAATAAAATAAAATGAGCTGCACATTTCTTGCTGTTGTCAGCCATCTTGGTTTTGAATGATTTGTGTTGCACTGACAACACCTGGCCAGTGGGTGGCAGTGTATGGCAAGGCACACTAGGGTCCACTGTAGTGACTTAAATGCAACTACAGCATCACAACCCATGCATTTACAAGAAAATGTCTTCTAAATAGCCACTGCAGTGTCCACTATGTATGAAGGGGTTAACATACAGGAGAACTCACACTGAACTCTTATGTGGTTGGAATGACATGCTTTGTAAGGTCTTACAGAGCTCACTTGTGTCATGTCACAACGTATATGACTATTGTGTTACATTATTTAGGAAGAGGGAATCATATTGTTCTCTTTCTGTGCACATTCATCATCAAACCAGTCAACTGAGGAAGATGCATGAACAAAGAAAACAAACCAAAAAAAACAAACAAACAAACAAACAAAAAAATCAATAAGCAAACCCCAAATACTTTAAATAAATAAATAAATAAATAAAAACCTTTTCTTTCTATATGTCATTTCCCCTTCAAACTACTATGTATTTGGGACTTTACAGTGTGGCACATTAAGCACAGCCATAGTCAAAACTGAAAAAGAAAGAGTGTGAGAGAGTGTGAAGTTGACAATATGGAAACAAAGTTCTTCCCCCAAAGTAGAGGGGTGAAACAGGGCGGCAGTCTCAGCCCCACCTTGTTTAACGTTTATATTGATGAATTAGCAAAATCACTAGAACAGTCAGATACCCCTGGTCTCATCCTTTTCAGTATTGCATCAGAGATGAGTTTTCCAGATATTTACAGGCACTTTTTATTTTAACAATCACACTTGATATGCTTCTTTATTTAACAAATTCAGTGTTTTCCTCTGCCTGCCATTTGGTCATTGTCCTACAAGCTCTTTGGTTATTTTAACTGAGTACTTATCTGATGCAGGACAAGGCTGATTAGGAGAGAGTGAAGGCTCTGTGAATGTAGCTCGTGTTCAGGTCTTCACTGTACCCTTACCCTGTGTGTTTTTTTAAAATTTATATCTTGACTAATAATTTAAACTTTGAAAATAACAAGGTGCTGAGATATTATAATATTGTGACCCTTGGAAAATCAAAATAGGACGCAGGACACCAAAAATAGCTTTCTTGGGTTTTTACTTGCACATGGTAGGCAGGGTAGGCAGACAGACAGAGAGGAGATCACATGACATGGATCTTCCTGATATAACTGACTAGCGCTCCCTCTAGATACATACGTACGTACATACATACAAAATTGATACAGTCTCAGGATACTACAGATATGTATATTTTTAAAAGGGTTTTCTTACACCCATTAAAATCGAGAAGGCCTCGTGACACCCCTTGAAGCTTCAACAACCCTTTGAGACCTTCAGGTTGGGAATAAGTGCTCTAAAATGTTTTCTTACTACAATTTTACACTATAGGGCGGCACAGTGATGTGGTGGTTAGCACTGTCACCTCACAGCAAGAGGGTTGCCGGTTCGATCCCGGGTGTGGGAGCCCTTCTGTGCGGAGTTTGCATGTTCTCCCCATGTCAGCGTGGGTTCTCTCCGGGCACTCCGGCTTCCTCCCACAGTCCAAAGACATGCAGATTGGGGACTAGGTTAACTGATAACTCTAAATTGTCCGTATGTGTGAATGTGAGCGTGAATGGTTGTCTGTCTCTATGTGTCAGCCCTGCGATAGTCTGGCAACCTGTCCAGGGTGTACCCTGCCTCTCGCCCGATGTCAGCTGGGATAGGCTCCAGCCCCCCCCTGCAACCCTCAAGAGGATGAAGCGGTTAGAAGATGAAGAAGATGAATTTTACACTGACTTAACTGTCATGTAACTCTTTATTTAGTACTAAATGATGTCAGTGTTACTTTATGTTTTGAGGTTTCATGTTGATGAAAAAGCTTCTTTTTCTTCTTCTCCTCCAAGAACCGTCACCTTAGCGTGGTGGAGGAGTTTGAGTGCCCTAATGACCCTAGGAGCTATGCTGTCGGGGGCATTTTGCCCCTGGTAGGGTTTCCCATGGCAGATTGGTTCTGGGCGAAGGGTCAGACGAAGAACGGTTCAAAAGACCCTTCATGATGGATACAAACAAGGACACGTGTACCCGGCCCGGAGGGTTACCGGGGCCCCGCCCTGGAGCCAGGCCTGGGGTTGGGGCCCGTGGGCGAGCGCCTGGTGGTCAGGCCTTCGCCCATGGGGTCCAGCCGGGCCCAGCCCGAACCGGCTACATGGGCTCGTCCCCCTGCAGGCCCACCACCCGCAGAGGGATCCAGAAGGGTTTGGTGCAATGTGGATTGGGCAGCAGACCAAGGCGGGGGCCTTGGCGGTCCGATCCTCGGTTACAGAAGTTGGCTCTTGGGACATGGAATGTCACCTCTCTGGCGGGGAAGGAGCCGGAGCTTGTGGAAGAGGTTGAGCGCTACCAGCTAGATATAGTCGGCCTCACCTCGACACATAGTTCCGGCTCTGGAACCCAAGTCCTTGAGAGGGGTTGGACTCTCTCCTTCGCTGGAGTTCCTCCGGGTGAGAGGTGGAGGGCCAGGGTGGGCTTTCTGATAGCCCCCAGACTCTCTGCCTGTACGTTGGGGTTTACCCCGGTAGACAAAAGGGTTGCTTCCCTGCGCCTTCGGGTCCGGGAACGGATCCTGACTGTTGTCTGTGCTTATGCACCGAACAACAGTTCAGAGTACCCACCCTTTTTGGAGTTCCTGGGACGGGTGCTGGACAGTGCCGGGGACTCCATTGTTCTGCTGGGGGACTTCAACGCTCACGTGGGCAATGACAGCGGGACCTGGAGGGGCGTGATTGGGATGCCTGCCCGATCTGAACCCGAGTGGTGTTCAGTTATTGGACTTCTGTGCGGGTCGCAGTTTGGCCATAACTAACACCATGTTCAAACATAAGGATGTCCATCGGTGCATGTGGCACCAGGACAGCCTAGGCCGCACGTCAATGATCGACTTTGTAGTCGTATCATTTGACCTGCGGCCATATGTTCTGGACACTCGGGTGAAGAGAGGAGCAGAGCTGTCAACTGTTCACCACCTGGTGGTGAGTTGGATCAGATGGTGGGGGAAGACGCCGCGCAGACCTGGCAGGCCCAAACGAACAGTGAGGGTCTGCTGGGAACGCCTGGCGGAAGAACCTGTCCAGATGATCTTCAACTCCCACCTCCGGGAGAGCTTCGACCGCATCCCGAGGGCAGAGGGGGACATTGAGTCCGAATGGGCCTTGTTCCGCTCTGCCATTGTCGAGGCGGCAGTTGCGAGCTGTGGCCGCAAGGCCGCTGGGGCCAGTCGCGGCGGTAATCCCCGAACCCGCTGGTGGACACCAGAGGTGAGGGGAGCCGTTAGGCTGAAGAAGGAGGCCTACAGGGCATGGTTGGTCTGTGGGTCTCCGGAAGCAGCTGATGGGTACCGCCGGGCCAAGCTGAGCGCAGCGGCGGCAGTCGTTGAGGCAAAAACTCGGGCCTGGGAGGAGTTCGGTGAGGCCATGGAGGAAGATTATCGATCGGCTCCAAAGAGGTTCTGGCAAACCGTCCGGCGCCTCGGGGGGGAAGGCGGCAACTTGCTCACACTGTTTACAGTGGGGGCGGGGAGCTGCTGACGTCAACTGGGGACATTGTTGGGCGGTGGAAGGAATACTTTGAGGAGCTCCTCAATCCCACCAACACGTATTCCAGTGAGGAAACAGAGACGGGGGCAGAAGTTGCTGAGGTAGTGAAACAACTCCGAGGTGGCGGAGCCCCGGGGGTAGATGAGATTCGTCCTGGATATCTCAAGGCTCTGGATGTTGTAGGGCTGCCTTGGCTGACACGCCTCTGCAACATTGCGTGGACATCGGGGGCAGTGCCTCTGGAGTGGCAGACCGGGGTGGTGGTCCCCATTTTCAAGAAAGGGGACCAGAGGGTGTGTTCCAACTACAGGGGGATCACACTCCTCAGCCTACCGGGTAAGGTCTACTCCAGGGTGCTGGAGAAGAGGGTCCAGATAGTTGATAGTTGAACCTCAGATTGAGGAGGAGCAATGTGGTTTTCGTCCCGGATGTGGAACTGTGGACCAGCTCTTTCCCCTCGCCAGGGTGCTGGAGGGGGCATGGGAGTTTGCCCAACCAGTCCACATGTGTTTTGTGGATTTGGAGAAGGCTTACGACCGTGTCCCCAGGGGCATCCTGTGGGGGGTGCTCTGGGAGTATGGGGTTGGTAGCCCCTTGTTAAGGGCCATCCAGTCCCTGTACCGAAGGAGCATGAGTCTGGTTCGCGTGGTTGGCAGTAAGTCGGACCTGTTCCCGGTGAGGGTTGGACTCCGCCAGGGCTGCCCTTTGTCACCGGTTCTGTTCATAACTTTTATGGACAGAATTTCTAGGCGCAGCCGAGTGGTGGAGGGTGTCAGGTTCAGTGACTGGAAGATCTCGTCCCTGCTTTTTGCGGATGACGTGGTCCTCCTAGCTCCATCGAACAGTGACCTCCAGCTCTCACTGGGGCGGTTCGCAGCCAAGTGTGAAGCGGCTGGGATGAGAATCAGCACCTCCAAGTCTGAGGCCATGGTCCTCAGCCGGAAAAGGGTGGATTGCCCACTCCAGGTCAGGGGGGAGGTCCTTCCTCAGTTGGAGGAGTTTAAGTATCTTGGGATCTTGTTCACAAGTGAGGGTAGGATGGAGCGGGAGATTGACAGGTGGATTGGGATGGGGTCAGCAGTGGTGCAGGCGCTTAACCGGTCCGTTGTGGTGAAGAGGGAACTTTACCAGTCGATCTACGTTCCAACCCTCACCTATGGTCACGAGCTCTGGGTAGTGACCGAAAGAATGAGATCGCGAGTAACAGCGGCCGAAATGAGTTTCCTCCACAGGGTGGCTGGGCTCAGCCTTAGGGATAGGGTGAGGAGCTCAGACATCCAGGAGGGACTCGGAGTAGAGCCGCTGATCCTCCACATCGAGAGGAGCCAGTTGAGGTGGTTCGGGCATCTGGTAAGGATACCTTCCGGACACCTCCCCTGGGAGGTGTTTCGGGCATGTCCAACCGGGAGGAGACCTCGGGGCCGCCCCAGAACACGCTGGAGGGACTACAGAAGAGCTGATGGAAGTGGCTGGGGAGAGGACTGTCTGGGCTTCTTTGCTGAGGCTGCTGCCCCTGCGACCTGGACCCGGATAAGCGGAGGACGACAAGTACGAGTACGAGTACGAGTACGAAAAAGCTTCTTTTGCTTTTTAAGTGAGAATTTAATTTTGGTTACAGCAACACTATTACATATTACATTTTGTTGAATCACCTCACAAGCTGGAACACAGATTTGGTGTTTCTGCCACCTGTTCTCAAACCAGGGCCTATTATTTCTGACAATGTATTTAAATAATGGAGAAAAACTAACAGGAAAGAGTAAACAAAGCAGTCTATGCAGTCTAACATGTAATCAGGAAGATGTTTCCGATTCGTGAGAGAGAGAGAACATATGTGTCATGCGTCACAGATGATCTCCTCTTTTGACAAAGAACAATACCCTTCATTTGATATAGAGAGAGACTTGTTGGTACAGTTCATTTACTGAGATAAACACAGATATGATGTCATAATGGGCTCCTCTATGACTTAACTAACCTGAACACTACCCTGACCAGTGTTGAGCCACTTCTTTGCAGTTACATGCAGCTTCCTCTTCTGAGAGCTCTGTCAGCTGTAACCTTGACACATTTTGTCTCAATGCCTGAGTCTGTTTCTGTTCTGAGGACTTTGCTGCTGTTGCCACAGAGTCTGTCCACATACTACAGCTTTTGCTGCAAGGCTTTTTCCACAATGAACCTATTTTCAATACTATGTAAATGTCACCCTGACCAACACATTCACAGTCAAATTCATGGTTTCCAGTTTCGCCTTACTTCTCCCCAGTCTCCAGTCCATGTGCTCTGCTGTCTGCAAACCATGAGCTTTTGTGGTGTTTATATAGGTTGGTTGTTTTTGTGAAATGTGAGACAAAATGAAACAGATGACAGAGAGACACCCTAGTTGGACTTCACCAATCCTTGACCTGGGCCATAAATACCCTCTTGAGCCTGGGCCCCTAACTGGGCCCCTAACTGATCATCAGACCCAGGACGTCACATACCATGTAGAACTCCAGATACTACAGTGGAGCAGCTGGTTTCTGGAACAACATGCCTGTCAGCTATTCCAAAGTTTGATATGTCTTCAGCGTTTCCCATTCAAGCTTGTGGTGTCATAGCCTGAGAGGGAGTGACATTCAGGCAGACAATCACAGAATTAAACTGAAATAGCACAGACTGGTGTGAATCTGTCCCTCAGGCCACATCCAGAATGCATGAAGACAGGTGGTGATGCAAACATTCCTTTGCTTGCATAAGCAAAGCAATACATCTAATCATTGTATTTGATGATAAGACGAGAATGTGACTGTTCAAGCTGTATGTATGTAACACCTATAGTCAAAATTTTACTTGACTAAAAAAATTAAAAGTAAGAGCATCAACCATTCACACACACGTTCATACATTGGTGACTGAGGCTCCCAAACAATGCAAACCAGTAAATCAATAAACCATTCACTCACATATCACAGTACAAAGCAATACTTGATTACAAGTAATGGTAACATTTTAAGTTTTACTTAAAAATACAAATAAAACCAACAAGTATTATCACCTAAATGAACTTAAGGTATCACAAGCAGCAGGCAGTGGAATGGCCCATGTCCCTGTTTTAGATTATTAGATCAGTATTATTAATGCATTTATGTGTAAGAAACAGTTTAATGTAGTTGGTCGAGGTGGAGCTACTTTCAACTGCTTCAATTCGTAAGTACATAAAATGTAGAGCTACTACATTCTGCTGCCGGAAATACAGGATTCACGGGCCCCTCTCACCCTTTAAAGGCACAAAGATGGTTTGGTTTACCCATGCCTTAGGATTCGTCTCTAAATGCAGCAACAGCCGAATGAGTGACTGCTCACACTGCTGAAGCACCAACAAACACTTGTCATGTCTTTCCTCCCAAAAAGGGAAGTCTAAGGGGAATAAAGTGGGGGTATAAAGTTTACAGTAGTTTCAGTAGAGTCATAAATGAACATGCCAACTCCACGCTGTTGTTGAAGGGTTGATGGCACTTACCAAAAAGTCAAGGACACGAGTTTCTTTTCAACACTGGAGGGACACATATAAAACTGAAGATTTGGGGGTCCTCCGCCAGAAAATTTTGAGCATCAAACACTTTCCTGCATCCTGTTGTATTTGTATGCATCAATTTGTGCATCACTTTATCATGTGCATGTCTTTCAGTTTGTCAAAATAAAGGTCTTCTGGTACTTGATGTTTTTATGTTCATGTTCACATGCTCCAAATACTGAGGGGGCCGTGTCCCCTGTTTCCCCCCTTGAAACCTACCCTTGTGCAAAAGCAACAAGGCTTTTATTTTGAAAGGAGGCGTGCTTTAGGCTCGCTAACTTACTTAACGGTGACCGAAGCAGCAAAGATGGTAAAGGAAATTTGCACTTTTGCCACATCACACAAGACAGAGTTGGCTGAATGGGGAACTAGTGCGTTAAAGGCTTAGCACATGTATGTTGCGTTTTAGGCGCACTGTCTGAATGGTGCATTTATAGGCTTGTATTGGAAATCTTGAGTCATTACTAATAACCAGACGTTCAGGAGGGTTATTCCGGGTCTGGACCACCATAGTGATTATTTGATTTCGTTTCAGTTTGTACCGGGAGATAATTTACTAACATTACGAGTTCGGTTTATATTTAACGGGATCTGTCAGCCTATTCACCGGATGTACGATAAAGTGTCGCTCGGCATCGCCCATTGTGATATTAAAACCCGTCATTTTACTCTGATAGCTGAACCACGATGGAGGTCAGTGCCGAAAAATCAAAGATACTCTCTAATAAGAGAGACTATGCTCTGAAACCGTTAGACCACAAAGTGATCCCCGGCAGCAGCGTGGGTGCAGAGGCGCAGAGACCCACATGGAGTGGGCGGCTGGAGTTCGTCCTGGCATCGGTGGGATACGCGGTGGGGCTGGGCAATGTCTGGAGGTTTCCTTACCTGTGCTACAGCAGCGGTGGAGGTAAGGCTGTCTAAGAGATCAGATCAGGGATGTTGGCTGCTATAATTCCTGATGTGCAAAACAGTCTGCAGCAGGTGTGATACAGATGTTATACAAATATGCTTGGTGTGAAATAGGTTTCTATTTTTGCATAGGCTGCTTCAAATTTCAGAGATATCATGTAGTCCGGGACTTTACTTTTTACTATGACCTCAGTAAGAATAATATAGCTGTATTTATACATTTCAGACAGTGTTACCAAGAACTACACATCAAAAACGTCACAAAGGTAGAATTTATGGCTGAGCTGTTTGTATTAAATTGCAATAGATTACACAGTTGTACCTAATAAAGTGGCCACTGAGTGTATATTAAATATAGTAATTCATGAATCTTGATTATGTACCAGTAATATGTCAAAGGTTGTCATGCATCTACCATCCAGGCTGTCAAAGTATTTTAGCTTTATCTGGGATGAGGTAGTTACTTACACAGCCTTTAAAGTCTGAAGCATAAAAACAGTCACATACAAGATACAACTGAGCTGCCACATTAATGCCTTTTCATAGGTCTGCAGTCTAAGTCATAACCAGGTTTATAACAACATAATTGGTTGACTGTAAGGAAAAATTGATTGGTGGTGCTGCATAGTAAGTCTATCCTTAACACAATTTTATTTTGAAATTAAGAGGGGGTTTGGGTCAGGATCTCTGTCATCCATCCATTCAGTAAACCACTTACTTTGTTCAGGCTTTTAGGTGGCTGGAGTCATTTGCAGCACATATTGGACAATGTGAGGCAGAGTAAGCAAGTCTGTCACAGAGCTAACACATACAGAGAGAGAGATTCACACCTTAAAACTGACACAGCCACATTTTACATGACAGTAGAGTGTTTTCTCTTCAGATTAAAATGACGCCAAACACAGGAAGGATGTTAGAGATTTGTTAACTCTACCTTCATTAATAGACTCCAGATACAAATTATGTCTTGTCTCTCAGTCATTTAATAATATTATCTGTGTTGTGACCAAGAATGACTCAGCACATTTCAGCACAGCACCCGTGTAGCTGTTGTTAAACAAGAAAGCTTCAGCACTTGATTGCCTTTATTTCAATAAATTGAGGTAAGCTATGTGACTTATTTTAAGATGTGGTCAGGCAGTGTAGACCACCATCAGCCCTCAGCTTTACAAAACAAGAAGACATTCATGAATGATACTTGTTCAGATAACAGTGGGAGTCTTCCTCCTGAGAGCAGAAAGTCGAAAGAATGTGTCTCTCATGATTAAATACCTCAACCCACAGAGACTTGTTTTGTTATGCAGTTGTTGTTACGTTCTTGTCATGCAGAAAGAGATTTGTTAAGCATTTATGATTGTTTAACCAGTGTACCCAGTGTACTGTAAATGTGCTACATGTAAACAATGACACAGCAGCCACCACAGGGCTGTTGGAACGAATTCCAGGAGTCTAACATAAATCGAACGGAAAAAAAAATTACTAATCAGATGCTGACATTACTGTTTGAATGCATATTTCTTAAATGTTTTATAAATGTGTTGGCTAATGTTAGCAAATCTTGTCTTTATCGCCTTGCTGCTCCGTCTCATCAGACAGAGCACCCAGAGTACGCTCTGTTGCTCGAGTGTCGAGTGTGGTGCTCTGAACAACTGAACGGTAATGTTATATTCCAGAAGTGCTCAGAATGTATGAACTGTCCAGTTTGTGCCTGTTAATGAGAGCGCTCTTGGCCTACCTGTGAAAATAAAATGCTTTTGTCATGTTTGATGAACAAGTTTTCTGAATTACAGTGTCACATTCAATGTACTAATGTAAACCTCTAAACTAGATTATTACTCAGCCAGACAGCTATCACTTGTTGGTGATTTCAAATGCTTGTTGATAATGTTGTAATGTCCTCTAGTGGACATAACATGTAACAACCACATACTAGCCCTTTTTAGATAGGAGTTGTGCAGATTTGCAGGAAAGCCCAATCAGTCTTCTTTCAGCATTGGCAGTATAAAAACAAAATCAGGGAGTGCGACAAAATGCCGTCTACCTACTTTTGTATATACAGAATGCGCCTTTTTCTGGGCAATGGGGGGCGTGAGCAAGTAACAAAACGTGTAGCTCAGCGTGTGACGTAAACAGTGACGTGGGAGGGAAGCTGCGGCTAGTCAGTCCTTCGGCGATTTTCTCGTAAGTCGGCCCATTCCTCACCATTCCTGTCATCTGACAATTAATGGCCTCCAGTGTCTGTCAGGTTTGCGTTTCCCTCTTGCTACTAGCTACTCGCTAATTCCTGCTATCAGCTGTTTCCTGTTTATCCACCGCCAGTGGCTCGCACGTGCGGCATCATCAACAGCTCCTCCCACAAGTCATCACAGCCCCTCCCGTTGCGGAAGGGCGCCTCGTTCTGTTTAAACCAAGGCCTAGTCCATACAGACCCGTGTACTTCTGAAACCGTGTATTATTCCATGCGATTTGGCTGTTAGGCCACATGCAACTGCACTTTTGGGCCCCCGAAACCGCATTTCTTTGAAACTGGAGTCCAGGGTGAAGTTTCTGGAAAACTCTGGTGCCAGCGGTTGCGTGTAGATAGGATAACCGCAGTATTTTATTACCTGTTGCCCTTGTTTGACGTCAGAGCAACGGTAAATAGCTCTTTTCTAAAGGTTTACTTACTACTAAAATCCCACATCCTGTGTTAAATACAATGTATCTTAACTATATTTAAATGACGCTTGATTCTGCACTCTGCACTTAGCCCATATGTGAATGTTTACCGTTGCTATGGCAACAAGTGACAGCTGATGTTAGCGTTAGTTAGCTTAGCTCAATCGTCCGACAAACAATAACCCATTAAATTTCAATTCAACATATTTAAACAAAATCAACAACAGCTACCAACAGTTACAGTCCTTACAACCTTAGCTAATGTGTTGTCACAGGTTAGATTGTCAAAATTAAAGTAATAACAGCTTAAATCCCTGAGGAACTACGCTAGCATTAGTGACGGTTGCAGCCACTCGGTCTTCAGTAGCTTTACTCTAGGTGTAACTGCCAACTGAAGAAAGCAGCGCAAACCAACAGTTTATATACCCAGATTTGCTCTCGCGCCTTTACTCAAATCAGTTATGCTTTAAATTGAGTGGGGGGTATCTGTAAAGATACAAAATCGATATCATATGCATAAAATACAATCACGAAAGCAGTGACGAGCCTGCCAACGGAGGGTCTGGATCCGGCCGGGTCGGACCTCTGTTGGCAGGCCCGTCACTGCTTTCGTGGTAGTGTAGTTGGTCGTTCAGGCGCCTCTGATGTTGAATTAGGTCGCGATATTTTTGTGGATCGGGCAGAGATATTGGATAAAGCGAGATACCCCACTCGGCTCACTTCCTGATTCAGTGACGTCAGCGCCACGCCCCCGCAGGAGACTTGCGGCAGCTCTGAATGTGTTGTCGTCAATGAGGAAAATGAACATAATCACAATTTATGGTCAATTCTTTCGCCCTATAGTCACTAAAGTAAATATTGGGTTCATTTTCCACAAGCCACACATCTTACCAACATTCTGACACTAAAGCTGCATTTTTCATCCACACAGATAAAGAGAAAGTTAACTTTGTTTGAGCCCTGTCCGTCTCAGAAAACAAGTTTTCGCGAGATCCGCATACACAGACATCCACAGATCCTCTGTTCAACACGAGGTGGTGGGGGGGGGGGGGGGGGGGGGGGAACAGGCTCTGATTGGGGGGAGGGCTAACCACGCCCACTTAGGAGACAGGAAGAGTAACCGTTTTCCAACATTGGATAAGCCTACGGTGGTATCTCCTTTATCCAGTATCTCTGGATCAGGTTTGTTTTTATTTTCCGCACTTCCCTATTTCGGTATTGACTCTGACTTCTCATTGGTTAAAATGACCTTTCCGTTAGAAGTTACATCGCCACCTATTGCTTTGGCATGTGTATTACATCACTTGGTAGCCGGTTTTGCGGTTTTGTGTGGATATCATATTTTTTTATCACACCACTCGTGTGGACGAATTTTTTTTGGAAACCAGAGCCCAAAAAATTTCAGTTTCAGAAGTATATGGGTCCGTGTGGACTAGGCCTAAGAGGGTTCCGCCAATATGACTACCCTACGAGGCGGAAAATTGGGCACCTCGGATCAACTCGCCAATCCGGCTCTGCGTGTCTAAACGCTCACAGCTTGCTGGCAAAACATTCGTGGGAAAATCTGGCAGTGTAAAAGGGGCTACTGATAGTGGTACTCGCAATGCTGCATCGGGCTGTGTATACCATGTATTAATAATAGCTAAAATCAGAGCTCTAAAATGTCTAAGAATAAATTGAATAAAAAAATAATAAGGACTTATATTCAAATGAGATATTACCACAAGTTTGACAGCTCTGGTATGTATCTGGTTCATCAGCCATCATTATGCCATTACTCAAACTCAGGAGGTACCAGTACTATCAGCCACCCACTGTTCTTTTCTGTTGTCCCAATTCAGGTGCTTTTATGGTCCCTTATCTCATCATGGTGCTCCTGTGCGGCATTCCTCTGCTCTTCATGGAGTTTTCTGTTGGGCAGTACACTCGTTTAGGGCCAGTGCATGCTTTCGCCAAAATCTGTCCCTTGTTAAAAGGTGAGTGACTCTCCAGGCCAAAGGCTCCTCTCATGTGACGGAGATGAACAGATGAACATCTGCTGAATTTTCCTTCATTTCCTCATTTTGGTGACAGTTTTGCAAAACACCATACACACACACACACACACACACACACACACACATATATATATATATATATATATATATATATATTGCAGTATGTATACACAGCAGCAGCTGTATGTATGTATGCATGCATCAGGCACAGATGATAATTGCTTTGCTCATTTAAAAAAAAAGGGAACAATAATTTAGCCGTTTACATTCACCCAGTATTAGACCTACAAATTCAAACTCAGATAAAATCAGATTGTTCCTGCAACTCTCATTTTATCAAGTAAAAAGATGATAAGACCATAGAAGTGAGAATACTTCCACCAGAGAAAGTAGAAGTTGAAAAATGGGTCAGGAATAAGGGTTCATTGTTTTTGTAATACAGTGGTAATTTCTTTGTATAGTTGTTACTATAAAACTGTTACAACAGACTATTGTGGAACAAATTAAATCCCAAAGAAGTAAATTATTAACCATCAGTCCCAGAAATCCCAGTTGATCAATACAGTATGTAAACAGAGAGCTCCACTTTTTTTTAAACTACATTATCCACAGAGAGGACAAGGCATCAGATTTAAAAACTGTATAACCATGTGGTCCTGTCAACTAATCCAGATCATTTCATGGGAGGGTGACACATGTGTGTGTATCTAATATTTGCAACAAAAAGTGAAAATAAAAGATGAGACAAAATGTTGGCAGAATAGGTCATTGCTGTAGCTATGAAATAACTGTCAACAGCAGAATTGTCTGTTAGGTTGTGAGTCAGTTGTACAAATGTTTGGGAAACAGCTAAGTAAATTGGGAAGCAAGAAATAAAAAAAGAATAAGTAGACAGTAGTGGTGTACCTAAATGTTACTTGCAGTAAATTTACAGCAATAAAAATGATGTGAAAGTTAGCATTTGTTAGTGATAGTTGTACAAAAACCCATGTGCCTTTGCTGCTCCCATCAGCACCATCACAGGTACCCACAGGTACATAAAGAGAAATCTAGCAAGTACAGAGTACAGTAGACTTTTTTTATAAGGGAGGACTGAAGTGTTACTCTGCCCAGTTTAGCTTGTAAAGCTGGTTCAGACACTTGTTGTTCTCTTCTGGAGTGGAGATGCTTGACTGAATTGACAGAAATGCGGAAAAACAAGTAAAACTCATGTTACGACAGTCCTCCAGTTTGCCTTGTGTCCATGCCCAAAACCGTCTTCTTCAGTTAAGGGGGCATTCAAGTTGCTGTGTCCTGCATAACATAGACGAAATTATAATATAGTTCTAATTTACAGTATACACAATATGCACATTTTTAAAGTAAAGGGGTATTTCTGATCTGATCTGTTCTTCTGGGCAAAAGATTCGTCCTCATGTGTCTTACCCAAAGGAAAAATGTTGAGGATGACAGATCTTTTTCTCAGGTTAACAAGCCTGCACTCTCACCACAGAGTGCTCCAGAGATAACGTTTTTCCTGTAGGCCATCGGGGAGGTTACCATCAGCCTGGTTCCCTCTTCAAAAAGCCTATGAGGTTTTCCCATTTGATTTTGGTAATTGCAGGAAATACACTCTGTGGCAGTTTTTTTTTATGATACTTACACATTTTGTTCAGCAAGATAATCTTCACAAGTAAACAGCACTTAATGATTTTTGAAGCCTAAATGCAATCACCATAAGTAAAAAGCTAACGTTAAGCTGTAAATGGACTACACCAAGGTTGCATGACTTAATGTTGCCACCAGTATGAGGCTGTAAAGCACATGATAATGTTCTCGAGTCTGCCTTTTTAAGACACATAAAAACTTCAGAATTCACTCGTAGGGTATTTACTGACATATTTTATGTGGTAGAACAAAATGTGAAAGCCTGTTAAGCTTGTATTAACCATGGACCTTATTTCAGGCATCTGACCAAAACCCACTGACTTTGAGACGAGGGAACTGGTAGTGCTAAAATGCTAACTTATCTGGGAGGTTTTAGGACTCATCCCTTGGGCACTCTTACAACAATGCACTCATTTCAGACTTGGATGTGCCATGCCAGTGGTTTTATATTGACTAGCCAGTGGGTATACTTTTCATAAATGATGTTATGACTATAAGGGCTCATTTATGCTCAATGTTAGATACAGAGACAGAGACAGATGGACCATTCTGTCTGTACTCTGCGTTCATTTCATACGTATTTGTGCATGTTTTCTGAAAGCTTACGGATATGGACAAAACGGAGCAGTACCACCAGAGATGGTGGAGGCAGTGTAGCATAGATCAAGCGAGATACAACCATAAGAGACGATGAAGGAATTTAAATAAAGGCGTCACAGAGCAAATCTGTAATATATTGAAAAGATTTCTCTGTCCACACGTTGCGATGTGCAACGCTGCCTCCATTTAAAGGTACAGTATTGCAATCTCTTCCACCATCACCTCATTTTATGTTGCATGATACTTTAGACTCTGCCCTCTAGTGCCATCTACTGGCTGTATTTATGCCATCTTAAAGAACGCTTGGAAGTATGAGGACGTTTACAACGTTTAAAAGAGATGTATGTATTTTAGTACGTAAAGGGAGCATAAATGAGCTTTTTTTTTTTTAAAATTTCAAATTTCAGGTAAGATAAAAACAATGTGTATGGCACATGCAGACATTTGGCACGTAATAGAACACATAGGCTAATTACATCAGTATAATGTCGGGTACATCAAGTCTTGTCAGGATTATTGCAAAATGAAAATAAAAACAAAACAAAGAAAAGAGAAGTAAAGGGTATAAGGCACAGTAAATTCCCTTTTACTCAAGATCAATTAATGACAAGATCAATTAATGGCCGCGGCGTATGGCGGCGGTGTGTGTTGCACTTCTAGTCACTTTTCTTATTTTGTGTTAATTTTAAAGTATTTATGTACAAATCCAAATCTACCAGAAATACGTAAAAACTTGGCAGGGATTTGGACATTCTCATTTTATGTAAGTAAAATTTGCCGATTAGTAGCATAAGATTAATTACAAAGGACAAAGACTTGTAATAATATCCTTCAGACCGACTGTGATGATATGTCCAGTTTTTTCATAGATATATTTCTCAAAATCCCTCCAAAAGACAGATGACACAGGGCAAATACAGAATAAATGTGCAATTGTCTCTGACTCAATCCCACAAAAAGTGCATTTATCATCCAAGTCTGTGAACCTGGAAATTGTGTTGTTACAAGGATAAATGTTATAAATGAGCCTTAACTGTAGGTGACTGTGTCCGCTTACGTCCTCCAATCAGGTTATGTTTTCATCTTGATTGTGTATCTGTTTCTCCAGATATTTCAGGCACAAAATTAGATTTAACTGAAATTCAGTCAGGAGGCAAGTCATTTTCATTTCACAGCGGAACCAGAAATGTTTTTTTAAAATTACCTGTTAATTTCTTAATATTGCGAGATAGAGCATTCATTATTGGAACACCACCAACAAAATGACCATTTATATGTCACTTGCATGCCTCTATGGAAAAAGGTGAACATATTGATTAAGTAATTGATTAGGGACTACTTTAACAACAGCAAAACTATATCAAAACATCCATTTACAAAGTGTCGCACAACTTGTGCAGTATATTCCAAGTCTCATTTATCCATATGTCGTATGCTCAGTATGAACAGAAGCATTTTCACCAAAGCCAAACTTCAATACTGAGGTTTTTTAGTGAAAATGCATGTGTTTGCATGTGTTGGGAAGTACTGAGCATACAACTGGATAGATGAGATTTGGATTATACTGCACGAGTTGTGTGAGAGTTGTAAACAGATGTTTTGATGCACTTTTGTTTTTGTGAAAGTGGTCCCCAATCAATCAAAAAAATCAACATGTTCACTCTTTTCTGTGGAGGCATGCAGGAAAGACAAAGTTTTCCTCACTAATTTAAAGTAAAACTGTGGGACTAATTGATTTACAAATGGTCATTTTGTATCCGGCTCATGAATCCCATGCTTATCTGTGTATGTGTCTTCAATGCAGATCTGGATCTTAATCTTAATCAATGATCACTTTAGAGGACTTTGTGCTGCATCGTTGGAGTGCTTTCCATTTTCTTGTTTTTATTTAAATGAAATCTGCCCTTTCTGTCTGATAAATTGATTGTCTTCACATGTTGATGGATGGGAACTTGTCGGAAGAACATTTCAATCACTGCTGTAATCACTGTCTTTGTTGGCCTTTTTGTGTCAAAACTTAAATCATATATCCTCTGAAATTGAGTGAACATTAAAATTTATGTCAGTAAGAAAGAAATCAATAAATCAGTTGAGCCATGAACTGAATATTCTTAAATCTGATTTATCTGAATGATAATTTAGTCAAGTACAGGTGACTGAAGTCTGCATCAGTTCTTTCAAGAAATTGTAAACATCAGGCAAATCATGTGGATCAGTATGATGGGTTGTTTAAAAGCTTTCAGTGCTTGAAAAAAATACCAGGAGGTAGTTGCAAAATTGTAAATCAAAGACATGAATGAAGTGAAACGTGTGGACCCAGAGAGCCACCTGGCAGTCACCTGGCAGATCAAACAAGAGCCCAGCCATCAACAATCAGTACTTATGGGTGTAAATTGAAAATGCTGTCTGTCTTGTTCTAACTTAAATTTTTCTCCATAGTTTTCTTATCTCTTTAAAGACAGAGATTATCTACCCGGTCAAAACGTATGGGTCCTTCACTTGATTTATCGCTCATTTCTTCCTGGTTAATGCTCTGTGCTAAACAAGGGCCAAAAGCAGGTAGTTTTTCTCTGTATGTTCTTTTGAATGATTTCCCTTTGCAACTCAGTGCAGTCTGCTGTGATGAACCTGTGATCCCTGATTTAGATGCCCACAAATATCTATCACAAATCAACAAATATGTCTATGTTTAATTTAGTGCAGTATTCTTAATTAATCACGGCATATAAGTGTATGATTGTAATTTAGATTTTTTCTGCCACTCGTTTGTTGTCTCATTAGTCTAAATGAGGGCATCTCGTGGACAGGTGAGGCATGACAGGGTAATAAACTAATAAAGAAGAGACAGAAGAGAGGACAGCTCCAACTGATTCCCTCCATCTTTGTCAGCTCTGACTTGTTTTTGAGTTTGGCACACTAATATGTTTTGTTAGTCTGAAATGACTTCACCACTTGGAGTGTGTCTGGTGTACCAGTGGAGCAGTCAACCATGTGTAGAGTGAAAGAGGCAAACAGGCAATAACAAAGGAAGGAGCGCTTAACGTGGTCCGTACAGAGTGGTTCTAGCTGATCCTGGAGCTCAGAGGGGGTTTCCTTTGGTCCTGTCATTATGATGACACAGATCTGTTTCTCAGCAGCCTCTCCTTCCATTTTACTACATAGTGACACTGGATCTAGCGGAGCATGGCATTCCAGTCTACAATGAGAAGAGAAAATGTTTTCAGGAGGAAGTTTTTATAAACTGCTGAAAAACAGCAAGCCATTTTGTTCAGTTGACAGTGTTGCTGTCAGTGGGAAAACATGTCTCTATCATTCTCAGATGACAAAGATGGCAATGATAACATGATGCAAAAGATCAAGAATAGGAGTAGTAATAGAAAAAGGAATAGTTGGACCATTTTGGAAATGTACTCATTTGCTTTCTTACCGAGAATCAGCTGAGGAAATTGATGCCACTCTACCTTAGTATGGTAAATATGTAGCTGGGGCTAGCAGCCACTTAGCTTAGCATAAAGAGTGGAAACAGGCGAAACAGCAAGCATGGTTCAGTTCAAAACATGAAGCATAAAAACAATAATTTGCCATTACAGGAAGTTATGTAACGGAATATTTCTTGGCCAGGACTATTCGCCTGGCAAACAGCTGATACTTCAGGAAATTAAGTTTAGAAGTAGAATAAAAACAGCTTGACACATAACCATTTTAAATGGCATATTGTCTTTTTATGCCTCCGCATTGGTGACAGCTGTTGACGGAGGTATTATGTTTCCTGGTTGTCCATCTGTCTGTCCATCCCATTCTCGTATATGCAATATTTGCAATATTTGCGTGCAGTATTTTAAGAACGCCTCGAGGGAATTTCTTCAAATTTGGTACAAACTTCCACTTTGAGTTAAGGATGAGCTAATCAGAATTTGGTGGTCAAAGGTCAGGGTTACTGTGACCTTGCATTCATCTCATTCTTGTAAACACAATATCTCAAGAACGCCTTGAGGGAAAATTTTCAAATTTTCCCAAACATTCACTTAAGGTGTGTTCACACTGGACCTGTTTTTTTCTCGCCCAAGAGAAAAATTGACAGCTACAGAGTGAGAGAACGAAATTTCGCTCGTCGCTTGAGATGAGAAATCCCAGCTGGAGCTGTATTTCACTGGGTCCTGTCGCTTGCAGCTCAACGCTGATTGGCTGCCGTTATCCCGGAATCCCGGGCTTCTCTTCCTATGACTTTTACTAAAAATGTGTCTTGTATGTTTTCTGAAGCCTTTAAGTTACAAAAATGAAACATACTAGACTTCTGAGCATTTATACCTCTGACCGCGGCATTATACATTTTGATACATAGGTAGGCTATACATATTGCAAAACTCTGTAAAAGTACACCAAAGCATACATTTTCTTTTCCAAATATTTTATTACACAAAAGATGAAGAAATTATGATTTTTTTAAAAACTATTTTGGCAAATACATACAAAATCCTCCCGCTCCTCACTCCAGGCAGCTCCAACTCCGCTCACATGCTCTGACTCAGGCATCAGAGCCTCTGCGCTACAGCGATAGATGCATTGGCGCTGTCTGTGGTGCGTAACACTAGGACTGCCGGGATTACAGCGCTCCTCCAAGCGCCGCAACATATGTAACTTCATTGTTTATGTTGTCCGTGTGCTCAGAAGCACACCAAAAATGCATTTGAGTAATTTCCAAGAAGTTATGATAAAATAAAAAAAAATATTACAGACTATAGAATAGGACTGACAACCTCTCCAATGTCTCATGTCAATTAATTAACACTATTTGTCGGCTTTTCATAATTCCTTTTTTTTTTTTTTTTTTTTTTGTTGCTGCTGCGCTGCTGTTGCGCAGTGTCTCCAGTTGAAAGTGGTGATTTGCTAAATACATTCTACAATAATAAGTTAGATTAACTTTTGGTCTATAATATTGTTGGCTATATTACGCGTTTTAATAAAAAAAATTAAGAATAAAAGAAATAAACACCGAAATAATTAGTGGAAACTTTTTTTTTTATTGATAGTCCTCCTCTCTGGACTAACACACACACACACACACACACACACACACTGAACACGCGACTGAATGAATGAATGAACATTGGAAGCGGTTCAGCGGCAGTCCCGCTGGCTGGCGCGGTCACTGTTGAGATTCGTTTTTTATTATTAACAAAATGTTTTTTTTTATTGACTGTATGAATGATTTTGTATTCAAATAAATATTTGGAAACAAAAATGTATGCTTTGGTGTACTTTTACAGAGTTTTGCAATATGTATAGCCACCTGTAGGGCCTATGTATCAAAATGTATAACTTTCAGCAGCGGTCTGCCGCGGTCAGAGGTATAAATGCTCAGAAGTGTAGTGTGTTTCATTTTTGTAACTTAAAGGCTTCAGAAAACATACAAGACACATTTTTAGTAAAAGTCATAGGAAGAGAAGCTTGTAGGTTTTATCTAAACAGAGTTATTTGCATTATAAAAACCATCGTGGCGGCTCTAGGACAAGTGCACTTACATTGATCACTTCCATAAAATAAAACAAGAAATTGGAGAAGACTGAAAAAACTGTTAAAATTAAATTATGGAACTGATCACAGATGTATTGTCTCTGTGTGTTTTTACATCTATTGTTGCTTTTAATTTGCAGCTATACTTTTAATGAAGCTGACATGTCATGACAGTCAAGTCAACTCACCGCAACATCTTAATGTAAAATCCAGCGCTTGGGCAGTGACTTGCAGCATCAGAAACCAACCAAAAAGGTGTCCTTTAACATTGGCATGTCGTGGCAGGTTGCTGTTATAGTTTAATGGAGCCCAACAGGCTCAGGGGGAAATGCGGCGGGACAAGGACGAAAGTTAAGGTGGCGAAAGTCCCACTGGGGCTTCTAAGCAGATTTTGCTATCTTAGGACACAGCCAGGCTAACTGTTTCCCCCTGTTTCCATTCTTTGTGCTAAGCTAAGCTAACCATCTGTTACCTCCAGCTACAGATTTACCATACAAGAGAGAGTGGTTTCAATCTTCTCATCTACCTCTCAGCAACTCAGTGAATAAGCATATTTCCCAAAATGTCAAACTATTTCTTTAAACATTGATAATATTGATTTTATATTTGCATTGGATAGTAGCCTACAAAAAGTAGTGCTGAAACCAACAGTGAAATTTGTCTTACAGAGTACACCTCATGGGTGGTTTTTCCTGTATTTAAAGTTGTTTAGGTTTAGTCCTTCATGTTCACACCCTACTGACATGCACAGTAAGGAGCCTCTACCTGCTCTAGAGGCCAAGCTTTTTAGTTGAGTCATTGCTCTGAATTCTCTGAGGTGGAGACAGGTGACACACCTGTGGTACACACAGACACGCAAACTGAAATCTGACACACAGCTAAGGACCAGAGGTGTTGATAAACTGAATAATTTACATTTGTTGCAGGATTTTGATCTCACCTTTATCCGTTTGGTCAAGAGCCTGTTACATTCACAGGCCAAAATGACACAGTGGAATTTCTAATCCATTGCTCCAGGAATGCCTTTTATCTGCGGCCCAGTTTGCTTGACTTTGTCTTGGCCACCACTGACCAGTCATTAACCCACAATGCTCTCTCTGCTGTCTATCTTTAAGTGAGATGTAGACTATACCCATAATCCTGGGCTCAAATAATTGACACTTCACAGCAGAAAATGGAGTATGAGGTGACAGTTTTAAGAAGTAAAGTGTACAGCTTCTTCCCCATAGATGGCATCCTCTTTGCGGAGTTGTCTCTTACTTTGTGTTCTCTATCCCTACGTGTGACTCTGCAGGTGTTGGTCTGGCCACAGTTGTTATCTCCTTTGTGTTCTCCACGTACTACAATGTGCTCATGAGCTGGGCACTTTACTATTTCTTCAACTCGTTCGAATCAACCCTCCCCTGGACTTCCTGCAACAACACCTGGAATCTTGTTGAAAATTGTTCCAGTGGTTTCCCTGGCAACGCCACCCACCTGCAGTCTGCCAGCCAGCAGTTCTTTGAGTGAGAAATGCATTTTCAGCTGCTTATGTCACTACTCCATCTGTCTTTTTTTACTGGAGGAATTAACCCTAATTAACACTGTAATGTTTTCCTAAAGGCACTGAAAACGTTTTCTTAATCATCTTACTATAAAGCAAAGTGGGTTTTACACAAACATTTATGCCAAAGTTTTGGTAAATTCACAGAAGAGATTTCTGTATTTGTTTTTGTTTGGAAAAATGTGACCTGACATACTTTTGTACACGGTTTTGTTAATGGTTTAGCAAATTTAACTGACAACTGTAGGGTTGTCTGCCAATTAAATCTGACCACACCTCACCCACACAGCCCTGATGACGCAGATTAATTGAGCTTTGAGTGTTAAACTCTTGATAAAGAATACCTAATTATTTTTTGCCGAACAGTAAAGGAATACTTCAGCCACAAAATGATAATTAGTACATCAATTACTCTCCCTGTATTACATTGAACCAGTGAAAACAATTCTCAGAAAAAGAAGAGACTCATTTTTTATCGAGATGATATATATTTAAGGAGGGTGATGAAGCCATAGAGGAATAGGGAACCCCCCAGGGTGTACTGATGGTGATAGAGGTGGTGAAGATGAGATAATATGAAGATGTGAAGAAGATGGAGAAGTGCTGATGATGTGGATGAGGAGAAGAATGGGCTTTGGGTGAGCTCCTCTTGGACTCTGGATACGATGGCTGGAGGTGGACAGGGCGGAGCAGGTTGTGACAGTTCTGCCTAAAATGACAGCTGATTTAAAATTTGGAAGTAGCATCCCGATTGGCTGATTGAGATAGTGGCGAAGTTTGATTGGAAAACTAGAAGAGTGAACATAGTCAACTGATTGGAGGCAGCAGCGAAAGTGGGATAAAGAAAATTGTGAATGGAAGAAGCATAAAGAAAGTCTTCCTAAATTGAGCTTACGCTAAGCTTCATATAAAAGAATTTGCATACAAACTCTCACCAACCAGTGCCGTATACTCCTAGTCTCATTTATCCATAAATGCTCAGCACTTTCCAAACACTTGTGCCTGACTTAGCCTGCCTGGGCAAGCCCATACGTTTGAATTCTGCTTGTGCAGTCTATTGAGCAGAGTTAAAATGCATGCGCATTGTCATGTGAGGGTTTTTTAAAGGATGTTTTCATATATATGCTGTTGTTAAACACGGGTCCCATGACTTCAATTCACCAAATAATTTCTCTGATTTCTGATTATCTGTTCACCGTGGAGGTATGCTATGAAATCAAAGTTTTCTTCATCGTATCATAGAGTGAGTAAATGATGTACAAATGGTGATACTGTGGTAAATTTTTCCTTTAAACTTGAAGTTTAAGCATCCAGGCCAGGGACTTCAATGATACAAGCATTGAATACTGTTGCTCTTTGTATTTTCACCCTTCTTTTTCTGTTTTTTTTTTTTTTTTCCAGTCACAGACTTTTGCAGAAAACCAGTGGCATTGAAGAGACTGGCGGCATCCGCTGGGAACTCTTTGGCTATCTCATTATTTCATGGGTCATCGTGTATTTATGCATATTTAAAGGAGTCAAATCCACTGGCAAGGTCAGAACAGCGGCTGCTTTTCTGCAAGATATGTCTATGCTTAGTGGTTATTATGCTTAATGTTGTGTCTGCCCCAGTTTTTTATTTAATTCTTTGAAAACCTTCTGTCCATTGAGATTTTATCACAGTTAATGTTTGTAATATAGCAATGTCAGAGATAAAGACAGGAACATTTATAGACAAGGAGGTCATTTTTGTGCTGATTACAGACATATAGTCAAACGTTTGCTCAGCAAATTCATTCACATGTGTTACTGAAAACAGGCCACAGCAGCTCAACTGTTGCAACCCCATGTACACAACTCACCAGCACATTAATCAATTTCTGCTTCTCGCTGTTTGTGTCACACAGGTTGTGTATTTCACTGCCGTATTTCCGTACTTCATTCTGTTTGCCCTGCTCATTAATAATGTGCAGCTTCCCGGGGCCAAGAATGGTATCCTCTACTTTGTGACACCTGTCTGGAACAAACTGTTTGAAGTGAAGGTGAGACTCTGTTAATGAATGAGTGAGAAATGTAGGCTAACCCGTAAGACTTTGGTTACACATTGGCATCAGATACGTAAAAGGAAACTTTTAGTTGTTTAGATCAAATAAACTATTGTGTCGGACAGTATCAAATGCATGTTTAATTTGTCTGCATAGGTCAGAGAGCAAGGAATTTGATGCAGATATTCCTTTTCCTAGACTGAAACCTCTTTTTCAGTGAGTAGGCTTTTATCTTGTGTTTGCTCAAGCTCTAAACTCAGCAAAAGCCAGAACTGCAAAAGGGAAGAGAGGAAGAGATCACTGCAGAAATGAGCTCAATAAACAGCTGAGGTTGTACGGGCATCTTAGAAAGTGAATAATTTGGCTTTGAAGATTTTAGGGACGGCTACCATCATAAAATTTCAGGACAGAAAGCAGGAGCTTCAAGACTGTCCGAATAACCTAGTTCGACTGCAGCTGGGTCAGTCTTGACCCCTCAGTAGCTCAAGGAAAAATAAGCTGGACACTTAACAAGGTGAGTGTGGTCCAGCTTAAGGCCCAGACACACCAAACAGATGAAGGCTGACTGTTGCGTCCTGTCCTCTCATGTCACCTGTGTCAAAAAGTTTTACTTGAACACAATGCAAAAATTACAGCCAATGGCCAGCTAGCACATACTACATTCTGCACCTGTGTGAGAGGAAATAGAAAAGGGAAACTAGAACTAGAAACTAGAAGACAGACAAGATGGATTTATGCTGCTAGGCACATTAACCCAATTACTGTGCACTAGTGAACAATATCCCAAACAGATATGAGGTGTTCCTGCTGATGAACTTGATGGCTGAAAAGTCATCTTAGCTCATATAACAAGTTTGTTCTGACCTCACACCCTCTTGACTTTAGCCGTTTGTTTGCTTCCCTTACTTACATTTCTCTTTTGTGCATTGAGTTGAACTCTTGGGGAAAAAAAACTTGAGCGACAGATGCTCACTGATGGCCCAACTTTGAATCATGGCCCATTGTCGACTAGGTGTGTCAGTGCCCTTAGGTTTAGCAATGTAAAATAGCACACAAATGTTAGGGCTTATTTCTCATCTTTAGTATTTCTCTAACATGAAATATAATATAAGATAAGATAAGATAAGATAAGATAAGATACACCTTTATTGATCCCACAATTGAGAAATTCCAGTGTTACAGCAGTCAAGGGGAAAGAGCAGTCCAGTCCAGTCCAGTTTATTGTTAAGATGAACACCTGGGTACTTATAAGATGTCACCATCTCAATGTCCTTTCCCTGGATGTTCACCGGTGTTGGGGGGAGGAGACTGCACCTGCGGAAATCCACCAACAGCTCTTTGGTTTTACCAACGTTGATCTGAAAGTGGTTCCTCAGGCAACAGTCCACAAAGTCCTGGTTCAGTTCTCTGTACTCCCTGTCGTTCCCACCTGTGATGAGGCAGACTATGGCAGAGTCGTCAGAGAACTTCTGCAGATGACAGGTGGGGGTATAATATGAAAAATCTGCAGTGTAGAGGGTGAAGAGGAACGGAGCCAGCACAGTCCCCTGAGGAACCCCCGTACTGCAGACAACCAAGTCCGATACACAATCCTGGGTCCTGACATACTGCGGCCGGTCCGTGAGGTAGTCCAGGATCCAGGATGTGAGGTGATTAGCCACCCCTATGTGCTCCAGTTTGTCCCTCAGAAGTGCAGGCTGTATGGTGGTGAAAGCGCTGGAGAAGTCAAAGAACATGATTCTCACAGAGCTTCTGGGGGGGGATGAGTGGTATGCCTCCGTGGTGTTGGCATAAAATAAATCCAGTGTTTAATTGTCTCTGGTGTGGCAGGAAACATACTGGCTGGAGGTGGGCAGGGTTGTGGAAGAACAGGCATGGTTGAATATTCTTCACTAAATGTGATATTAACACATTTTTAAAAGTTAAGGGTCACAAAAAACAGGTAAAACACTCAAAAACACTTGAATAATGTTTTGTTCTTGAAATTCATTTAGAGTAAAACGCTGATGTGGAAAATAGTTTTCCAGGGCCTTTAAAACTACACTGAAGTTAATCTGCATGCTCTCCTTTATCTCCATCTCCAGGTGTGGGTTAATGCAGCTGCCCAGGTGTTTAATTCCATTGGAATAGCATTTGGCTCCATGATTTCAATGGCTAGTTACAACAAGTTCAACAACAACATTCTCAGGTAAAGATTTAATATTGTCTGTTTGGAAAACCTGTACTGTGTCTTTGATTATGAATATACAGTCCATATCAACTTTGGAGGTTTCTTATTGGTTCCCTCAGTGTACAATAGGTATACAAAGGTATGAGATTTTAATGGTATGATAACTGTCTCAGAAAGCATCAGAGTTTAAGTTTTACATAATTTGTCTTCATCTTCTTCTTCTTTTTCCTCTTCATTGTAATTGATACCATTGATACCCACAATAACTGGTACACTGCTACAGCCCTAGTTTACATATTAGGGCGCCATCAGAGACTCACAAAAATACAACTGATGCACTTAACTAAAAATGCAATAAATACTTACCCTTTACCACAATAAACTTGACAGTGTGTCGTGAGTTGAACAGCAGTGCTCTCAGTTGTCTACGCTGTAAGAGCAGCTTTCATGATCCGGCTGTTTTGCTCACAGCAGGAGAGGAACAAAGAGGACAATTGTTTATGGAAGAAGCTCCATGTTTGGTCTTCTCTCTTTTTTTTTCTTTTTTTTCTTTTTTTTTTTTACATTTGCTTTGACGTCTGCGTGCCTATCAGCTTCAGCTGTTCTCCACAAAGGTTACTCCCATCCTGCAGAGAACTGAAATGAACCCTGTCTGCCAGACTCAGCACTATCCAAACAGCTGTCCAGGGAGAAATTGAGAAATGAATAATTACTAGTTTACTTTAGAACAAGGAGGATGTTGTTATACAGTAGCCTATATGGAGGTCATGAAGCTTTGGGCTGTGGGACTCAGGAAACAGAAACCCTTAACCAATCTACTTTATTTACCTGCCACGGACACTATCCAATTTTCACAATTTCCAATATTTATAGTTTCTGACAAACTGAGGGCTCATTGATCCAGTGCAAAAATGTAAGACACTCGTCTTGATGATCAATGGCTGCTTCATGATTTTCTACCGTTGTTCTCCTGAGTTTCTTGGATCCTGTAACTACACTAACATTATTTATTTCCTCCTCCTCTCCCAGGGATGCATTAATTGTGTCGATTACCAATTCATTCACCAGTATCCTGGCTGGCTTTGTGATCTTCTCAGCCATTGGCTACATGGCTCACACACATAACCTACCAGTGGACAACATAGCTACAGATGGTAAGCATCAAGCCTGAGAAGACCATCGCACCACAGTCTCAGAGAGTTGTTTTATTTTAATGATTGAAGGGAAGTGTTGCAGAAATAGAGATGGATATACAAACTGTGTTTTTCTTTCATCCTCCTGGGAGCATTTTTTCTTGTTTTCCATGGAAAAACAAGACAGATTTCAAGATGTGCACATCTGCCTTGAATATCTGAATTGTGCAGGTTACTTAAAGATATATAGTGAAAGTCTACAATTTCTTGAAACTGCACACGTTCAGTTTCCTCATCTCGAGGTATACTACTTGGCCTGTTGTGAAATGTCTTGTTGTGCTCTGGAGAAGCTTCATAAAGTTCAAAAAGTATCCCTGATGATGTCATTAGGGGTTTCTCAACTTGGGCATGAGAAAAAGACTTCAATATGAAACCAGTGTTACAATCTGGATGTGACAGGTTTGAACAAGATCGGTCGGTCCCTTGTTATTTCAGCACAATATTAAATTGCTTGAGTTATAGACACATGTAGATGAACACTATTTTCTGTGTGTGTGTGTGTGTGTGTGTGTGTGTGTGTGTGTACAGGATTAAAAAAACACAGAGGGAGTTTTGGCTCTGGCAACCAAATGCTAAAATTAAATTAGAGCTTTGTCTGTTAAGTACTGTATTATTCAAAACTGAGACAGCTTGTGTTCAGTTGCTGGGACAGATAAGGATCCTGTGAGGTGATCAAAACACTATATCCCTGTCAGCTCTAATTGCTCTGTTGAATGACTGCCACCTGATCTCACCCTCCTGAAAACATGTTTGGCTGATCATTGGTTAAATTTTCTTCAGAAGAGTAATGGTAGCTATCAGTGGCCTCTCATTGTATTTTCTGTATGCGTCCGGCATCTTTTCAAAAGCAATATCTCTAAATCATTTCAGTGTTTGAGTTTCAGCGCAGTGACTACACTGCAGCTGCAGGATTGGTGGGATGCAACCTGCAATTAATCTTTAAAGGCACTGCATTGTGTTTAAATGTCAAACTGACTTTAAACAAGTCAATGAGGTTTATGAGTGTTCTGTGATAAATATTTGCCAGCCGCAACAGTGGGGCTGGTATTGTTTTCACCTTTTGAGCCAGAGCGTGTTTAGTCACGGCAAAATGTGGTCCCAGGGGCCCCTGTTGTAATAGGAACTACCACAGAGGCTCTTGTGAGTATTGCCCACTTGTCTGTCTGTCTGTCGTGAAAAAAAAAACCGTGAAAGTTTGTTTAACTTGTGTTAACCACAGACCTTATTTTAGTGACTTTGAGATGTGGGAACTGAAGTGCTAACTGCTAACTCATCTAGGTTTTGTGACTCATTCCTTCACCACTCAGTTGAAGATGAAATAAAACTTAATTGATCCAGACTAAACTGCGGCTACTTTGGATGTAGCCTACAGAAGCAGTTAGGCTTTTCAGGAATTATTTGACATCTTGGGAAATTGCTTTCACAGTTAATATTTAGCAGAAGCCAGAAGCTGGTTGGTTTAGCTTAGCATGAAAACTGGGGCTAACAGCCTGACTTTGTTGTTGAACATTTGTGTGCATGTGTATCTTAAAATGTTAACAACACCTTTACTGTGTCATGTTTCAGGTCCTGGTTTGGTGTTTGTTGTGTACCCTGAAGTCCTCTCCACCATGCCTGTCTTTCAGCTGTGGGCCCCTCTGTTCTTCTTTATGCTGCTGTGTCTTGGCCTGGACAGTCAGGTAAAGATCTCTTATACTCATATAAACACTGTGACTGGACTTTAGTTGGTCAGAAGGCTGGCTTCCTAATTGGGAAATAGGGGAAGATTTTAGGTGCTATATTGCAGGCAACTGGACTTGTCTGAGTGTCTTGGAGACGTTTCACCCCTCATCCAGGCTCTTTAACTTCTAACTGACTTATGGGGACCCGCAGGCCTGAAACCCTGTGTGGGTGTGAGCTCTGTGTCTTGTTGACTCACCTGGCTATCCTGTAGGTTTATAGGGTTAGATGGGTCCAGGTGTGAATAGGTGTTAAGTTGTTTGGAGAGGGAACTCAGGACTGCATTGCAGGTGAGTCATTCATGGTGTAGTAGGCACCACCTCTGTTTAATGATGTTTGTTCCAGTGATGTATGTCGATTCTTTCATGCTTCTTTCAAACCCTCTGTTTTCTCTGGCCAAGATGTGTACAGTACTGCCCTCAAATGAATGTCCCTTCTCCTTCAGATGTAAATAGACAGCTGAGTCGTGACCTGAGGAGCTCGCTCTCCTGTACACAGGAAAGCCAGCTCCTCAGGAGGGCCAGCGAATGTTTATCATCATAGTTTAGCATGTTAGCATGCCAACATTTGCTAAACATCACTAAGCAAAAAATGTCAGTTGTGCAGGTATTCAGTCATAAACATATGTATTAAAGAAATTTAAATTTTCGTTTTGATGATGGTCAAAATCTGTTGTCCATCTGTATACTAAACATTAATATTTAAAAACCACTCATATTGTACTATGGCTAAATACCCCACAATGTTTTCATCTCTAGCTCTTTATGTTGGCTGCACACATTTGTCTTGAACAACCAATATCGGTTTTAAGGGTGTGGTCACACATGAGTGAAACAGGGCAAATAAAGCATTTTTTTCCTGGTGGCAAAACAATTTTTCAACTTTTGTGAACTCGGCGAGGTTGCAGCCTCAACCAACAGCAAAGAAGTAGGAGACATTGATTGTAGCCATGTTTAACCAGCTGATAGTGTATTATACTGGCCATGAAAAATACATTTGCCCCCATGAGAGCTGCTGCCTGACTGACAGTAAGCTGTGAGAAATATCGCCTCGGCAAGGGATGGTCACTTGCGTCCATTAGCTCATGTGTGACCATGCACATGCAACTCTTTTCACACCCATGGCTGTTGTCATGGTTACCCAGCTCTTTGCACAGTCTCATAATTGCACCCCAAACAAAGATGCAAAAATGTCTCAAAGTCATAATTTTTTATTGAGTAAATGGGAGTAGTATTTTATATATGTTTTTTCTGTGTGCCACAGTTTGCCACAGTTGAGGTGGCTGTAACATTCATAAAAGATGAGTTTGGAGCCCAAATTCTACGTTTCCTCAAGAGAGAAGAGCTGCTGGTCCTGGCTGTGTGCATCATTGGCTTCATCCTGGGTATCCCTCATGTTACCAAGGTACAGTATGTAACAGTGAAACTATTTTCTTTCTCAGAGAAACACATCTGAGGATATTTTGTAGCCTACATGTATCAAAAGTGAAAGTTTTGTCATTTTTATCTTCCTCTCTTCCCCCTCCTGCACAGGGAGGTATTTATGTGTTTCAGCTGATGGACCACTACACTGCTGTGGTCTCCCTCATGTTCCTGGCTTTCTTTGAAGTTGTCGCTGTCTGCTGGATCTTTGGTAAGATCCACATGATGTTCATAAGTTCAAACCTAGAGGGCCTATTTCTGGTAAACTCTAAAGACCTGTAAGCCACCAGGATTTGCTGTTGTTGGTTAATTGTTAAACTGAACTCTAAACATCTTCCATATCCACAATAGAAAGAAACCTGTTTAATTATCTCAAGTGTTTAATCAGCTCTTGTCTTTTCCCATTAGGTGTCCCACGCATCTGCTTGATGGTCAAGAGGATGCAAGGAAAAACTCCAAACATATACTTTCGTCTCTGTTGGCTGGTGCTCTGTCCTATGTTGGTGCTGGTAAGTTTTAAACAGGATTATCTGGATGGTATGATTAGTAATGATGGTTATTTGATATAGTTTTAAGAATATCTTTCTCCTTACATAGTGTATACTGATCTCCAGCATCATCCAGTACACTCCTGCTCGCTATGGGAAGTACACATACCCAGGGTGGGCTGAAGGGGTGGGCTGGTGTGTCTCACTGGTCTCCATAATCTGGATCCCACTTGGAGCCATGCAAGAGATCTGTAGCAACAAAGGCTCACTTCTTCAGGTGAGTGTAAGAATCGTTATTCAGAGAAATGACAGTGGAAGTCGCTCAGATGGGAGGGGTATTGATACATTTTTTTATCGTCTGGTAAGTCACTCTGATAAGTGAAAAAATTGACCAAATGAGGAGTTATCCTTACGGCGACTATGGATATCTGTTCCAAATTTAACAGTTATCTATCCACAAAGCTTAACAGGGGTGTGTTAGTGGGGGGACAAGCAGGACTGATAACCTAGGCCCCAGTAGGACAAAGGCCCTTGAAAAACCTGGATTTTTTTAAAGTAGCTAATAAGTGCCATAACTACATTAAAATTGGCAGAGTAAATCAGTCAAGAGACTGAACTTTGTATAAAAAACAGTGGAAGCTCTAAGGCCCCTCTTACAAAAGGCACAAAATGGTTTAGTCAGCCGGATTCATCTTTAAAAGCAGCTAGAGCCACGTGCAGCAGAGACTGCGTATGCAAAGGGCCCAGAATTTGGTGAAGGTTAACTTTGTAAGTGACAAGTCAGGTTATCACCAATGTCAGTAGGCTTCATGCTCTGAGGAACATGAATGTCTGTACAAAAATTCATGACAATCCATCTAATAGTTGGTGAGATTTAGAGTCTGGACCAAAATGGTGGACCAACAGATCAACACTGCCATTCATACACTCTGTGGTAGTCTAAGTACTTTCATAATGACGAAATGAGACTCTGTAATTAACATCAGATGTTCTCTATAGTGAATTAAAAAAGGTGTTCATATTTGCTCTGGATAGCAAAGTTTACAACTTGGCTGCTGACAACAAGAGCTAGCTAACATTTTTACTTTTTGCTCCTTGAAATACAACATAAGGAATTTGACCTTAATTTTTGGTACTTACTATTTCACATAACAATTATTCAAATTACATGTCTAGTCTTCTTTTAACTCAATATCTCCTACATTAACTGATTTACATGGATTATGAAATTATTAAAGGAACAGATTAGTGACATCTAGCAGTGAGGATTGCAGATTGCAATCAGCTGAAACTTCTCCTGGTTAGAATTCCTTTACTGTTCATTGTTCAGGAGGTTTTTACTGTGAGGTCTCTTCCTCTCCAAAATAGACTTCTAATTAACATCGGTAAAAACACAGAATAAAGCAGTTTCAGGTTACAAATCAGTGTTTCTCCTACGTTGTTTAGCATGCCGCTGCAGCACCTGCTAATATGTGCTCACCTATTTTTTCTGATGACTTAAGATCTAGATGTTCAGGAGGTTTTTATTAGGAGCCAAATTAATCGCAGAGGTCTCTTCCACATTTAAACCAGTAAAAATACTGAACAAAGCTGTTTCATGTTAAAAAAATAAAAAATAAAATCTGTGTTTTTCTGACTGCCCATTGCAGAGGGGCTGCTAACTATGGTGGCTGACATGAAAACACAAATGGCCCTATCTAGAGCCAGTGTTTGGTTTGTCCGTTTTGGGCTACTGTGGAAACTTGCTCCCTATGTAGATGTAAACAACCAATTCTAAAGTAACAAAAACACAAAGATTCTTATTTTTTAATTGATTAAAAGAAAACAGATGTATTTTATTATATTCCATTTCTGCAAATATAGCCTTCTAAATCCTACACACTGGACCTTTAACAATCTTTATAAACATGAATTCAAACAAAATAAAGTGACAAAAGCTGGTGTGGCACTTTTTTTTTTTTTACTGAAGATATTAGAGTATTATGTGCAGAGCTGGGCTATGGCTAATATTTGTGAACAAGAAATAAGTTAACTGTTTTATCCTTTTTTCTCTTTGTGCCAGCGTTGACCAGAAGTGCTTGTTTCTAACATATTGTCTTTTCTAACCCTCAGAGACTTAAAGCAACTTTGATTTCATCAGTAGACATGGATGCTGAGGATCCACTGCCGGAAAAACAAAACCTAGACAGCTCGGTGACTGAAACCTTGCTTACTTAAGTGGCATGACTAGAAATACAGGCAAAGCCATGTCTGTGAGTCACAGACAGAGATGCACTGTTAAGGGTACTTTTTAGTGATGGAAAGAAAACATATTTACACTGAGATACACAATGTCTCTATTCTAAAATGATCATTTTATGCTGTTTGTTCTTCCAGGACAGATTCCTTACTATGTATCTCGAGCACACTGGACATTTGTAGTGCTTTGAAAGCTTAAGACACACACATCATTTGTGCCTGGTACAATTTGTATATTTAAAAATCTCAGATTTTGTCCATCAGCTAAAGATTGTTTTAATATAATTTAATTAAATTTAGGCATGAATGCGTGTGTGCCCTGTCTAGACTAGTCAGGTGTTTATTCCAACCAAAGACTGAAATGTAAATGATTACTTCCTCAGCTTTGGTTGATTAATCAGTAAACATGTCTTGTATATGCAGTGATGTTTTCGCTTGCAGTGTGTAAATAAGACTGTATTATGCATCTATGTTAGAGGCATTCAGAGGTTTATTAAATCTTTAGCTTAATACATAGACTTAATCCTTCAAGGACACTTTCCTTTATAAGATACATCATGAAGGGGCTGAAGAGGCCTGTCCCATTCAAAGGTCTCCTCCAAATGCAGCAGGGAAATGACACCTTCTTTTGACCAAACCCAGCTGTCTTTGTGGCCTTAAACCCCATAAAACATTGTGCTGTTCCGTTGTTTAATGTAGAGTTTGAGTCAAGTTTGTTTTTGGTGGTCATCACCTGGAATCACCCAATTAAAAAAAAAGCACTGCAATGTATTTCATAACAGAAAAAGTTAAAAAGTTAAATGGTTACAAGATCTTTTCTCATAATTACGAGAAAAGATCTCATAATTATGAGATCCTGATCTCGTAATTATGAGATCTTTTCTCATAATCACGAGATCAGGATCTCGTAATTACGAGATAAGGTGTCTAATTTTTTTTATCCAGTGAATGCAATGCACTAATAACTGACATGCTTTAATGCATCAATAGTTTTGACCTGTGAGAGGATGGACTGTCTCACTGTGGTAGGAAGAGTGGCTTTAAGTTGTCTACAAATTTGGGTGAGGAGAGCAGCGGTTCCCAACCTTTTTCTGCAGGGGGCCATTTGTCTATCATTGAGTAAACTGACGACCCCTGACTCGGTGACATATTTTATTCGTATTATATTCAATAATATGTGTAACAATAACAGTGCAGAACATCTGGTACACTACACTTTTAGGTCAAATAGTAAACAAATGACTTTATTTGAAAAACTGTTAAGAATCATACATACTAACTTTGCATTTTTTGGTCAAATTAAGTGTTTTCTTCTCTCTGACACTTTGCCATTGTGCTGTTAGCTCTTTGGTTGTCTGAACTGCGTACTTTTCTAATGCAGGACGAAGTTGTTAAACAGAGTAGTGTGTCTCTGTGAATACAGCTTGTGTTCAGGTCTTCACTGTGTCCTTATCTTGTGAGATTTTGTTTTCTTACATCCCTTAAAATCAAGAAGGTCTTGCAACCCCCCATGAAGCTTTGATGATCCATAGTGGGGGTCAGGACCCCCAAGTTGGGAACCAGGGCTTTTGAGATTTCAGCCTCTGATCTGGGACTCAGGTTGTGTCTTAAGCGGGATTTATACTTGTGCGTCTATGCACTTGGCCTACGCTGTTGTGAGAATTTATACGCGGTGGTGTGTCTGTGTTGCTCTGCAGTTACACCTCCAAAATAGTAGTCTGCGGCGGAGTTTCTGTGGAGTGCTGTAAAGTTTAGTTAATTCACAACACACATTAAAGATGGCTTAATAGAGACAATTTCAAACACAAGTACACAAATTGGCTTCACTATAACATAGACAATGCACTTGTCTTTTGCTGGACACATTTTCCACGCAAATTCAACCTGCTAATGTTATTAGCACAAGTCTATGCCATTTTACATTGTATAAATTAGCCTAGCGGCTAGTGGAGTTTCACTCTATTCATATAAAACCAGGGACAACAGCAACATTTAACAAAGGTAACTTTACAAAATTCGGCTACATTACATTTCACAAGACTCACCAACAAAACAACTGTCTTATACTAAACACGTTTTCTAAACAAATTTAACATGCTAATTGTTATATTTACATCAACGCAGAGCCTAAGGCGTCAATTTTATGCAGAGGTATAAATCCTGTGTTAGCCTGAATGGAAGCTAGAGACAGACAGTGACGCTAGTGTGGATATATATTATAGCATTTTAACTTTCCAGTGCCTTAACATCCTTCACATAAAGTCAAAAACCCTGAACACACATTGGCATAAACAAACCCAGACTAATACCATTTTTCACGTAAATGTTTTACATGGAATGTAACTGTAATGTTATTGTAGATTTCTCTAAAATGTACTATTAAGATTTTTTTTTTGTTCAGTGTTGCAAAGCTTCAGAGAGACTGATTTGTGGCTGTAAACAAGTGAGTGATGTGATCCAGGAAGCAGGTTAATGTTGCACCGATGTGAACTGAGGTCCTTCAAAGGTGAATCAGTACTGGGAATTTCTCTGATCTCTGCAGGCTGAGGAATAGGTTATTTCTCAGCAATGCATCTGACATTATTTTTTTAACTTTCTTAGAGCAGGAAACTCACAAGAGATTTTGAGATTATAAATGGTGCCTTTGATCTGCTTCCATAAAGCTGAATTGGGCTAATGAGTGTAGATAATCCAGAGGAGGGCAACACTTATCTGGTAATCTGGTTACTCTCCATTCAGGGTCTATTGTATGACCCAAAATCTGCAGTTAATCACTGACTGTTTTATCTCTGGTCTGAACACAGACGGAAACCAAAAAAAGTTCACGTTGGTGATATGTAATTTATTTCAGCTCGAGCTTTAACTTTAAGATTGTTCACTTGAGTTTTTTTTAATGATTGACCTCCGGTCTAGACATCTCTGAAAAGCTGATAGTGAGATTATACCACGTCCAAATTCAGTGTGACAGTGGGAGAAAAGGGTTTGGTCGGCTCAGTGTGGGAAGTGTATGTTTAGGGTTAGTATGTTATATAGATGAACTACCTTGACTGGAAATGCCCAGGGGAGATAAAGTCACCCTTTGATGTAAGATTGTCTAAAATGTTGTGCCCTATGTTGCATTTTTGGCCTTTTACTTTTAATTTTTTTTTTGTTTTTTTTTTACTGGTTAGCTTATCAAAGAACCTCTCATTAAGGAGAGCCTTTTTTATAGTACCGAAAACATGCTCTGATAATGAATGTTCAAGACACCTGAACATGATTTTCAAAATGATACAAGAAGAAACAATCTAATCTTAGCAGTCATACATGCATTGCACACTGTATCGCAGTTTAAAGGTGAAAATGCTTTCAATCCAGTTTTGTATTTGTTTTTAAATTTGCACAAGAAACTAACCTGTAGGCTGAAAACAAATAGTGATCAGAGGCTTTAAAAAGGCAGTTTTGGGGAATTTCACAAGAGACACATCGTGGAACTTTAAGCTTCAAGTGCCTGTCATGAGCAAGTTTTGATTTTAGATTATCTATATTGAATCAGATGGGTGGTTCTTAACCTTTTTTTGTGTGTTAAGCACCTCTAAATTGATACATATTAGGTCACAGACCCCCATTTCATAAGACTCCATGTGGAAAGATTTTGATTGTTACATCAGAATTCTGTAGTTGAGGAGATAACTGTTGGGGGAACTCTTACCCACATTGGGATCACTTCTATAGTAAATTAAAGAGTAAAAAAGAGTAAACTACCCTCATTTTTTGTGGACCCTCCTGGAACTCCCTTAAAGACCCCTAGTTGAGAACCACTAAATTAGACGACCAAAACTTTTATTTAAGATGTTGTGTATGTTGTTGCTGTAAGCTGCCTTATTTTGCTTTATGTCATGAATTGTTGAAATTGTATGCAAGGATGATTCAGAAGCATGTTAACAATACTGCTTACACTTCTTAGTAATTGTACTTTTAATATGAGCTAAATACAGATTATTGTGGGCTGTTAACAGAAATGCACTTGTAATCATCTTGTTCAGAAGTGTAAAAAGTCTGGGTTATTGGAACAAAAGGAGTTGGGCAGCCACGTACCATGACATGCTGACAACAGACCACAGCTGCTGATTTCACTTATTCGTTTCAGATGATCGTCTCAGTGACTATGTTTACATGCACAATGATATTCCACTACTATTCTAAATGTGATAATATTCCAGATTTCATCCATGTTTATGTAAACAGTACATTCTGTTTGTATATTCCAATTAGACCTTTTTTCCCCCCAAATTTAGATTTTTCCAATTAAGATGTGAGGTATACTGGTATTATTTGGGTTTTAGTAGCAGTATTTTGACATGTGTACAGTGCATTTGAAATATGCGTCTCAACTGAGTTTTTTATTTTTTTACTGCAGTTTGTGACACATTGCATCTTGCCTGTTTACAGTCAGCTTTGTGCATTGTCATGGAGACACTGTACACAAACCAACTCGCCAACAGTTATAGAAATGCATGCCTAAATTAAAAGACTAAATTTTTAGTAAGGAGAGAAACACGCCTACTTTTAAACATTATGAAAGACTTGGATGTCAACAGGTTTTTGGATATGCGCATATATTGTACCAATGACCTTTTCAAGAGGGTGGTTGAATGAATTAAAGAGGAAGGCTGTGTTTGCATGGTCAAAAATTATTGGCCACTGGAAAAGCCGTTTTTAATATTTCGATGTGATGAATGACATGTTTGGGCGCATAATTTGGAGTATGCACAGCTGCATGCAAACGTGAATATGAGTGTAGGATGCATTTTCATCTTAGAGGAATATTGTCTTCTTTTTTTTTTCTTCTTTTTTTTTAAAATAAGGGCAAAAACCTGAATATTTTGCGCATGTAAACGTGGCCAGTGAAGTCAGCTGCTGCATTTTGTGGCAGAATAAAAAACCTGCAGACTCTCTTTGCTCCATGAAACAAGACTGCTCATCCCTCAATTAAAATATCTTCTCATAGTATACAAGCACATTTAAAATTTGTGACTCAATGCTGTCATGTTAAATTTGTGACACAGTGTTGTTTCTCTTAACAGTGTTTTCATATTCACACACTACAACAGTGATAATGCTGATCAGACTTTGCTAAACAACTATATATTTGTAAGGCAGTGTGTGTGTTTTTTTATTTTAATTCAAGACTCAATGTATTTTTCATGTTTTATGTTTGTGAAACAAAATCCTACAAATCTCTTTGCTAAAATTTATTTTCGTATCAGTGAATATTTTTAATTTTTCTTACTGTTTTATCATATTTTCTATTGTGTTGCTGTGCTGATTCTTGGTGTCTTAACATTTTGTTAAATAAAACACTTTTTTTCTTGCTCTGGTGTTAATATATCCCTCAGTGCATATTAGCATCATCTGGATCACTACCTCAGAGAGTCACTAGGCGGCAGCAGAGCAGCAGAAAATGCACCAAAACAACACTAACGCTGTTTCATCTGTTGTACTCTCATGCCACATCCTGTATAATCTGATACTAATAACTTTGCTGCAGAGCGTTTAATGGTTTGGTCAGAGAATATTTCAGCATGGGGGAAACATTAGTTTGTTTTATCTGATTTAGATTTCACAGCAGCATTAGAATTTTACATTAATGTACAAGAACCAGATGCTCTGTGTTTATGGTTGTAGTAAAACACTAATTGGCAACACCTGTCCACAGGAGGCTTTATAAAGATTAAACAAAGTAAAAAGAAAAGAAAATACACCCATAAACACACATCCA